TTTTTTTTTGCATAACTAATCACTTCAAAGACAAAAAAAAACATTTCTTTTGCGTATCGTAAATATATGTCGAAGAAAAGAAAGCATGAAAAATTCAATCGTCTTTTTTAATGAAATCGTAGAACGAACAACAGAACCAACGGAAATAAATGCAGTTGCATCATCATCAATATGCCGAGACAAAACGCCTAGAAAGTGGCGCTGCTTGAAAATATATTATCCATGTCGATTGTATTGCTTGACAAAAAACCAATCCTTGTTGCATATTATTTTCATTCATTCTTAAGTCAGCCAGGGTCACTATTGGATTGAAAATATACGTGGCATTTTAGCTAGAGAGAGGGCGTTAAATAACACTGATTACATGGTTACATTTACATGCATTCTTTTTCGGAGAAAGCAAGGCTCTTCTACACGATAAACATACTCCTTTGCATACACCTCTGTATACGCATACATTTAATTCAATTAAACATAACACAAAGTGAAGCCGAAGATATACATATTGTATAGAAATACCGAAAGAAAAAAGAATGTTAAGAATTTTTGATTATTCTCATTTCAGTATGAGACATGATTTCAATAATGTTACGAATAATTAGATGTTAAAGAACAAGACCTTACGTATCACGTTGTCCGAATATTTTTTTAACAAAATTTATTACGAATTAAACAAAATTAAACTTATTTATATACTCATGAAAAAAATAATAAAAATAAACAATATCGTCCCTTTGTTCTCTTGAAAATTAATGAACTAAACCAATGCTATCTCATGCTTTAAAACAGTTTTTCTAACATTGTCGCATATTGGAAATCTATTTAGTAGAGTCTTTTAAGTTTTTGTGAATTATTTATTATTTTTTTCCAAATACATAACACTTAATGATATTCACAATTTTTCGAGGTGTGGTTTTATTTGAAGAACACAGACAGTTTTTCATAATGTATTAACGGAAAATAGAATTCGAACAAGTTATACATAAAACTTATTTCTAAGTCTAACGCCCAAACACTCGATTTCTATTAGTTTCTATTTATCATAAGATTTCAAGTATCTATCAACGTGATATATATACAAATTACTGATCTCCTAATACTTAGAGATAAATGTTGTTGTGTGCTGAAAATGAAACAGTTTTCTTTTTTTCATTTAAATATTTTATTTGATGCTAATGTTTCAGATCTGAGATGATTATCATCCTTTGTAGTATTTAGAAAACGTAAGTGAAAAGAAATAGAAAAGAAACTATCTATTTCTCTACTTTTGACACAGCGATCAAAGATGCTCACAGGGTTTTGTTTTTGTTTTTCGCACGAATCTGACCTAGAGATCAGAATTTTCTGCAGAACATGTATACCACCGTTATCAACTATCTTGCAATGTATATTTCATGGATTTAGTTTTCTATTTCTCGTATAAGTAATTAAGTACGTATGTGTTAAAACCAGCTGTACGTACCATCACAGCGGTTAATATTACGTTATTGTTTGTTGTTGGCTTTTCAAGATTCAAAACACGAAATTTCTTAAAAAAGAATAATCTAATAAAATTTGCAGATTATATCTCAAATTCCATAAATAAAGACTTCAAATAAATATGATACAATAATAATGATCCTAGTAATACGTCAACTTCTTGTTTTTCTTCTCCTTACAAATATATGATATTCGCCTGGAACAAATTTTGTATGTGATTTCCTCTATTATTCATCGATTAACTTCAATATCAATAGAAGAGAAATTTGAGCCAAGTAGTACGTGAACAATCTTATTGAGAAGAAAAATGTTATGCATGTGTTGCGATAGAAAAACAAATAAAATCGCAAAATGGGTTACTTATAAGAAAGTAGCATTATAAAGTTAAAGATCATTAAAAGGCATACCGAAATATATAGTTAATCTTATGGAAGATGATTGATAAGTCGAGTGTTTTTTAGATGGAAAGGTGATTTTAATTTCCAGAAAGTTGATATGTTCGCTCTTGATGTTATGCTAAAAATGTAAAAGTAAAGTCCGATCCAATTCAAATTTGTATCAGTGAGATCTTTAAATTAAAAAATATTTCATAGAAAACCATATAATTTTTTTTGCACTCTGGCGAAAAATTGATAGTTTGTTCCCAGGTCAAAAAATACGGGCCGTTTTCTGCTGGAAAACATAGGAAATTAACCGAAACTTGGTAGCAGAAATCCGATGAGCGCATCTGGTAGCCGACTTTGTCTGATTACTGTCCTTTCTGGCCAGAACTAGGATATCCGGATGCCAGATCCAGTCATTGGACTCCTGCTTCCAACTTCCTATCTTTCCCCTGATCTTCCGGCAGAAAAAAATATATTTTCCTGCGGATTCTCGCCGAAATAACACGAACCCTGGAGCCAGAATCATTTTCCTGGGTTAATTAAAAAGTAATTTTAAAATGTGTCGAAAAAAAAACAAAAAAAAAACATCATCGATTCTTTCCTCAAAAGAGACATTCATTTTAACAATCTATGTGCCCTATTTTATAATTTCTGTTGAATCCGAGATGAACAATTTTGATTGCGATGTACTTCTAACCACACTAACCGATTGTAATTTCAAAGGCAGTCAATCTTGACCGCATCTAGATTTCAATTTTGTTTATCACTTTACATTTCTATTGTGCCTTTCGATTACAACTAAATTAAATCATTAAGACGAGATATGATGCTTTACTGTACTTTTAATGACAATTGCACGTTAGAAGAAGGCTTTACATGATTTACTGTTCTTGGATTTGATATCCGTTGATTGCACAAAATGCATCCCGATTAGTGATTTTTTTTCGCATGCGGATTTACTTGCTGTTGATTACTTTGTAAAAAGAAGAAATGAACGAGCAGGTAGCGACGATGATTAGAAAGTAACGGTAGAATGAGAGTATGTTACGTGACTACTTTTTCTATATCCACACCACCATACTGCACCTTATTCTACGCTTACTTCGCTTCGTTCAAACAATCAACAAACAGTACATCACGTTCTCCGAGAAAAAAATGTGTACCACATTATCATAGTTTTTCTTCACATGTAATTTTAATAGATTATATTTAAACGTTTCTCTAGTATAGATATTGAAAGAAGAAATGGTTATAATGTAGAATAACTTCTTTGAAAGACATGTGCTCAAAAAATATTCAAGTGTTATCTACTGTATGGTGGGCTTCTTCCAGGCATTATTCATACGTTGATGAATAACTTTTCAACATAAAACATTATTAGAATTCAGTATTAATTGATCAACATACTTGATTTGAAGACACGTTGTACTCAAAAAAAAATGAATTTTTTTAATGCCTTCATAATTGAAAGTTAAAAGTAAAAACAATTGAAGCCATCTGCTGTTATTAGTTTAAAAACTTTTTTCGCGGCATTTAACTCTATCGAAAGAAGCCAATAATAAAACTACATGGAAAAGGGCAAGACCAAATTATAAATTAAGTTTACAAAACGCGTTTAACGTAGAAAACTATAATCATACTAGAATTACAGTTAATTTAGGCGCTAAATATTCCGTGTTTTGTATTGCAAACAATATGGTCACTAATTTGTTTCATAAACGCGAAGTAGTTACAACAACAAGAAGCTGTATGAAAGTCAATTAGGCATTCAATTTGCCAGAGCAATCAGAAGCGAGAAATTTGACACTCCTAATGAGCTTTATAAATTGATTAATCTTTGTAAATTTTGCATGTACAAAAAAATAATTATGATGATTTAATTGGCTATTTTATTACTATTGGTTGACCTGGTATACATTAATTTTTTTGAAAATGTTCGTCTCAACCAAAGGAAATAGTGTCATCATAAGTCTTCTAAATTGTGATGGATGAAAACCTCTTTGTGATAATGTATAATGATCACAACTATTTGTGTAAACACTGTGGTATTATGTCTTCTTTCACTCTGAAGATCTATTTTTTCTTGTACATATCACAATACTTACCTCTATCAGCTTAATGCTGATAGTCTTTGATCGTACTCTAAACCCAACAGCTCTTGTCCATTTTCTCTAAGAAAATCTTTGGAAGCTCCTAAGAATCTGTAAAAGAGATCCTCAAAAACTTGTTAAGGACTTTCCGGAAAGTTTAAAGATTTCTCAGAGAGTCCATTAAAAAAATGATAGGGGCTTAAGTCAACTACTGTACTCGTTTTCAAAATAATTTTGCTTTGTTAAGTTTTTCTCAACCGAAATCCACTTTATACAAAACTATTCGTCATTCTTCCAGAGTCTTGTACCTAAATCGTTCAGTTGGCCTCGTCTCAGTAGACGAGTTGTTCAGATTAAATATTAACTCACGACAAAACGATGAGCTATCGTTGAGGAGGGCTCATACAGAAGTTTAAATGGTGCTTATCATTTAGATAAGACTTAGCCTTAAAAAACAGCAACTACTATTTTTGAATCTCCATTATCTTATATGTAGCTATAGACGCAAAAAAAACGGTGAATGAGTTCCTGCACAATTTCATCAATCTTCTAGGAAACTTCCCGAGATTTTTCCGAAAAAAAATGAACTAAGTTAAAGCTTTCACTTTAATCGTAATTTTCATTGATATCTACTTCAGTCTATCCTAGAAATATGCGTCTTTTCAGTAATATCGTGAACTACTAAAGTATCTTTTTTTTTGTGAGACGTTTATTATTCATTCTACCAATAAAATATGAACTATCAGATAAAACATTTAAGGGATCTGTGTAATACTTAAATCAATCAATATCTAATATTGATTTTTTTATAAAAAGAGACAATATGATATTGACTAACGTTTCTAAATTTTACTTAGAGGCGATTGAAGAAATATGCATATTAATATCAATCAATAAATAATAAAGATAATCACACCATATTAGCTTATAAATTATGCCAGATGTCGTCTGCAAACAATCAATTGAATAATTAGAAATATGTACGATTGGATTGTGAACAACCGATTATATAGCAAGGAGCTGTATGTATTGATTTCGTGGTGACAAAATGTCACAAGTTACTTATCTATCACTAATTGGTTATTATGAATTGCTGAAAACAATCGGTAATGGTGGGTTTGACAAAGTAAAACAAGCAATACATTTACTTACGGGCGAATTTGTAGCTATTAAAATAGTTGATAAAGCTAAATTAGGTGTAAGCAATTATTTGTCATACTTAATTGCTCTTTCATTTCATTCATTTGAATATTTCCGTACCAGAGTGATCTAGCTCGTATTGCGCCAGAATTAAAAGCAATGAAAGATTTGCGTCATCAACATATGTATCAACTTTATCAAGTTATTGAAAAGAATGAATATTATTTTCTAGTCTTAGAAGTATCTTCCTTCAATTGTTTTGTGTTATTATTTGGAGAAAATTAATGTTTTTTTTCCTCTTGTATTTATTACTATAGTATTTTTGTAATGGTGAATTATTCGATTATATTATCAATCGAAATCATCTATCCAAAGAACAAGCTCGATATTTCTTTCGTCAAATTGTTTCAACTGTTGCTTATATGCATAAAAAAGGTTATTGTCATCGTGATCTTAAGCCAGTATGCGTTTGATATTGATCAAAAAACGTCGACTAATTCATCTCTATTCTAGGACAATGTATTACTTGATCATAAAGAAAATTTTAAATTGATCGATTTTGGCTTGTGTGTGCTCAACCAAAAGTAATTTTGAAACGAGAATCAATTGATTTTTATATAATATCTAATTGCAGGGTGATATTAATTTAGTATATTTAGGTACAGCTTGTGGTAGTCCAGCATATGCTGCACCGGTAAACATATTAAATCAAATTTATAATAATTCATTATTATATTTCTATTTCTTATCTTTGTAGGAAATTCTTGCTGAAACGAATTATCGAGGTGACGTGGTATGACGAAATTTTATTTTATTACAAGTTTTAAAAAAGAGAATGATTAAAATACGAAAAGATTTGAATTTCGTATGGCAATGGCAGTCATCAGTGTACAGCTAAAAGAAGATCAAAGATCTCTACAAATGAAGAGACAATACTTTCATCAAAGATCATTCTACAACATAACTATTTGACATGAGTATTTTGTAGTATAATTTATTCCTATTTGTTCTATTTATTACTAACTTTACTTTCGAGCAAATCTTCATGTTCTGTCATATAGCGATAATGTTGAAACAAAATCGAAGAACTGTTTTACACATACTTTTTTCTTGTTTTTATCCATATAGATCTGAATCAGCTTAAAATTTCTAAAATTCATTCGTAGCACTGCTGTCTTATTAGAATATCTCATTCTTCTTATATTACGTGCAGTTTTAATTATACAAACATAGCGTTTATGATTGGTTTGAAGTGTTTTTAATCAGAACTATTAGTTAAAGCTTCTTATTCATAGATAATGAAGTCCTATGAAGAAAAACAATGTATGCATTCTTTTATTTCTACATTTAGGCTGATGTTTGGAGTCTTGGTGTTCTTCTTTATGTACTATTATGTGACAGTCTTCCATTTGATGATGAAAATGTAGCATCAATGTATGCTAAAATTTAAGTAACATCAAAATCAAAGGAATAGAAAATAGCTAGAGTTTAATAATGATTACTTTTCTTATTCAGAATGTTATCTATCATATATCATCATATTTATCACAAGAAAGTGTTGCATTACTTCGTCTTATGCTTCAAATTGATCCAACTAAACGAATTCGTATAGATGATCTTCTTTGTCATTCATTACTTATAAATCATGTTTATACTGAACCTGCCAAATGAGAATCTATTTATGAAGTATAGTTGAATTTTTTAATTCTTTAATGAATATCATTGATTTTTCATAGAATAAATTAGATCTATCATGTATAAGTGAAATGGCTTTATATTATGGCCGAACTATAAATGATATTGCACAAGATCTTTCTTATGTATGTCGACTATGTTTTATTAAATTAACAAAACCTAGAAAAAAAGCGATTTCGTTTTCTTTCTAGAAACGATATGATTATATGACAGCGACATATTTCATTTTATTGAATCTTAAATCACAAAATAAATCAATACGTCTCTACCTAATCATATACAACAGATCGCTCGTCAAACTACCAATGGACACCAGAAACAATCAAATCTTATTCCATCGAATTTATTTCATGAAAAAAATCAAGAATCAAATCCACTATTACAAATTAATTATAAACATCTACCACCAGCTGACCTTCTTCTTATATCTTAACAAGATAAAACACATTTACCATTTACCAATGGAGTGAAATCAACGATACCAACAAATAAGGAATATCATAATTATAAAACACTAAATAAAGAAAATACTGAAAATTTACAAACACAATGTCAAGAATCGATATTCAAGTAAAAATTATAAAACAACTGAACAAAGAAATATAAGCTTGGATTGTTTTGTGCTTTAGATCACCTAATTGTCAACGAATCCTGTTATTTGCTGAGTCACTTAGTGGATCAAGACGAATTTGTCAAAAGAAAGGTGATGAGTTTTTGATTTTCTGAACAAAAATCTCTTAATTTTTTTTTCTTTATAGATCATCGCATTACTGCTTCAAAATCTTTTGACGACGTCTTGATGATGATAATCTTGATGATTCCAAAATTGCATCAGCATTAAAGTACATATTTTTTTTTGTACTGAATACTATCATACGGACAATATATCGGACGATCGCATAATCCAACTGCAAGATAATAATTTTATACGGCTGTCCACTTCACTCTATAGAGATTAGAGATGTTCTGGAACAAATTATTTTGATTCCTGTCTAGAGAAAAATTATTTCATAATTTATTCGTATCACATCTAAAAGAAATTCATCAATACTTGCTTTATTTATTTAGCTGATGACTAGTACTTTTCAGATCTTTCATTTGAATCATGTTCTGATTGATATGATTTATAAAATAAATCGCTTAAAACCATAGAATATTTAACTATAATCCTTAGTTTCAGTTTCATGAATCCCTAGTATAGATAGAATGATAGGGATTACGTCTTTTTGACAGATTCCAGTTGAAGTTTAAATATTCTTCTTTTATAATTACAGTTGAGGCTTATTCAGAAATGCATAGCCAATTCATTTCTGTAATCGTCGGATACATACGCGATTTTCTAACATCTTTTAAATAATGATTTATTATTTTTTCTGTAAAGCGTTTCCAGTGGACGCTGTTGACAGTGATGATTTAGATGTATATTTTACACCGCAATGTCAAAATAAAAAAGTTCATTCACTATTTGGTAGTTTTGAACGTGGTTTAAATACTGTTAAACAAATTCTTACATCAAAACGACTCAATGCAAATAAACCAAGAAAAACTTGGGTATATAATTTATTGTTTATAGCCTCATAATGATTTTTATCTATTTAAATTTTAGGAAACAGCTAATGTAACATCATTAAATTTCGATAATCCTGATCAATTATGTGATTTACTTGAACAACCTATTAAATTTAATTCTCACCTTAAATATAAAGAAAAAAGGTACATAGAGATTATTATATTATTAAACTAAATCAAGAGATATTCTTTTAAAAATATTTAGAAGTCATTTTATGTATGATGTATTTACTGAAGATGATTGGGATAAAGTTGTATTAGAATTTAATTTAGAAATAGTTGCTGTATAAGGCAAAGAATTAGGTATTCAACGTAAACGTACTAAAAGAAATGCATGGCATTATAAACTATGTTGTGAAGATATTATTGGACAACTTGCTCATCTTTTACCTCAATTACAAACATCTGTTTAAATGTATAAATTTTTGTCTGAACTGTTTTGTCTAATGAATTCTTATATACTGTGTAATCTCTAATATTTGTATTGTTACTGTTATTATATTTTATGTAAATAATTTTTGTCTAGTTCTTTCAAGTGAAATAAACAATCAATATAGACTCGATTTCTTTCTGATATGTATTTGGATCATTCAAATGAATAAATTCGAGTGTCCTTTGCCGCGACCTCTTATTTTAACCAACAAATAATCAGGTAAACATATACATGATTCATCTATGATAAGAAAAGAGAAACGAAAAAAAGCAAAATATTTTCATACGATAAGATTAAAAAAATGGATGATGTTCAGAAATCAACTACAGAAACACGTACGGAAACAGATACATTTGGTCCAATTGAAGTACCATCTAAATATTATTATGGAGCTCAAACAGCTCGTTCAATGATTTATTTTAATATTGGGCTACCAACTGGTAAATATAAAAATATATTTTATATAAGTGATTTGTTTTTCAAATTGACTTTTCTTAGATCGTATGCCGTTTCCATTAATAGAAGCATGTGGATTATTAAAAAAAGCATGTGCAATAGTAAATAAACAATTTGGTCTTGAGAATAAAATTTCTGATGCTATATCACAAGCATGTGATGAAATTATTGATGGAAAATTAAATGAACATTTTCCATTAAGTATTTGGCAAACAGGATCCGGTACACAAACAAATATGAATGTTAATGAAGTTATTTCAAATAGAGCAATACAAATTCTTGGTGGTATAATGGGAAGCAAGAAACCTGTTCATCCAAATGATCATGTGAATAAAAGTCAAAGTTCAAATGATGCATTTCCTACTGGTAGAATTATCTCATAAATGGATTCTCTATTTTTCTAAACTTTTAATTTGTTCGTTTTTTTAGCTATGCATATAGCTGCTGTATTAGAATTAAATCGTCAATTATATCCAGCATTGAAATATCTTCATAGTGCATTAAAAAAGAAATCTGAAGAATTTTCATCGATTTATAAAATTGGTCGAACACATTTACAAGACGCTGTACCCATGACACTTGGACAAGAATTTTCTGCTTATACACATCAAGTTGCTATGGCAATTGAGCGTTTAAGAACTTGTGAAAAACGTTTATATGAATTAGCTATTGGTGGAACAGCTGTTGGTACTGGAATAAATGCACCAAAAGATTTTGGAAAATTTGTAGCACAAACTTTGAATGAACTTACTCAATTACGATTTGTTGATGCACCAAATAAATTTGAAGCATTAGCTACACATGATACCATGGTTGAAGTAAGTGGTGCACTTAATACATTAGCTGTTAGTTTGAGTAAGATAAAAATTATTACCTAGTTTTCTTTTTGAAACTATTATTTTTCTATGTAAAGTGAAAATTGCCAATGATATACGTCTTTTGGGTTCAGGACCTCGTTGTGGCATAGGTAAGTGTATTTTTTTTTCATTTATTATTATTTGTGAATGAAAAATGTTTCATAATAACTGATGCTATAACTTGTCAACAATATTTTTTCATACTTTTTCTTGATGTTGAAGGCTGAAATTTTTGTCACATAGATATCTAACTAAGATCTTTGAATCTCCAAAGTTTCAGTACTCTAACTAAAACTAGTAATAAAATGCACGAATACAATAAAAACGCATGAATTTTTCTATTTGATTTTTGTAACATCTTTATTGATTGACCAATGATAGTTATATACATCTGATGAAAAGAAACCTTACAAGACAAATTTTTTCAAAAGCGAAAATTATAACAAAGCTCTATGTGTATGAATATGGTTTCTATTGACTTCTACGACCAATTGTAATTAATAAAGTATTTCATCTATCTTTTTTTGCACATTTTTCTTTCGAAAATTTCCTTCGGTCTTGTGTATCTTATTTTTTCTAATCGTAATGACATATCAAACACTTTTTTTCAAACTTTTTCGTTCAATACTAAAGCCCGTCGAGTCCACAATTTTCGGAACCAATTAAAGAAACATTTTCAGTTCTTCATTCGTCAGAAAACTTAGCATAGCTATCTACTGATTCAATACGTTCATTAAATATACTACGAACTGTGCGATCAACATTTCATATTATTTGGAAAATTAAAGATCTTGGTTATATATATATATATACGTATATGAGAAAAATTTCAGCTTTCAACATCAAGAAAAAGGATGAAAAAATGTCGCTGACAATTTATCATTAGGCATTATCGAAAATTCTTTATATATATTCTTATTGTTAAGGTGAATTGATATTACCCGAAAATGAACCAGGCAGTTCAATTATGCCTGGTAAAATAAATCCAACTCAATGTGAAGCTATGACAATGGTAGCTGCACAAGTTATGGGTAATCATGTTGCTGTTACGGTTGGTGGTTCAATGGGACATTTTGAATTGAATGTTTTTAAACCATTGATTATTAAAAATGTTCTTCATTCAATAAGAATTCTTGCTGATGTTTGTAATTCATTTACTACTCATTGTGTATCAGGAATTTTACCGAATACATCTGTATTAACACGTTACATGCGTGAATCGCTGATGTTAGGTAAATGATAGAGGAGAATTTTGTTCTTTCTTTTTTAATACATATATTGATTTTTGTTTAGTGACAGCGCTAAATCCATATATTGGTTATGATAAAGCAGCAGAAATTGCAAAAAAAGCACATGCAGAAGGAATAACATTACGTGAAGCAACATTGGCTCTTGGTTATTTAACAGAAGAACAATTTGAAAAATATGTCAAACCTGAAGATATGGTTTGAAAAATGGGCCATATATAAGTAGTGTTTTGTTTTCCAAAAAAAAACGTATTCAGTGTGTTATAATAGATAAAGGGGTTGATGGTTTTTTCTAATGCTTAACCAAAATTATAAAATCAAACTTGAAAATGTGCTTAACAGTTTATTTCATCATCAAATAGAAAGAAATGCAGACGAAGACCTTCGATGAGGATTAAAATTATCTCTTTAGAC